CCAGTCTTATATTTGCTCAGATCCACATGTGGGGGTCTTGGCGGCTTTGAGGGCGAAGGGCCTAGGGTTGCCAGATCAGGAAGAGGTTTGCATGCTTTTTCAGACTGCATGACTCCACCTTGCTCCATTACAGTGACTAAGGCACAAAAACAGGTGTAAGATATAAAGACAAATTCCTCAGGTCTTACATTAAAGTAACTTTACATTATGTATCATGCATGAAATTGCAAACCTTCATATGCATCCATGCAAAAGATTTGCAACTTACTCTTTGATGCTCCATTAATCTTCAATGGAGAAGTCTCTTGGTGACAACTTCCAGGACTTTCTGCAAGCTGCGCCTGTGCTTTACTAGAGTAGAAGCCCTTTGGTCTGCCGCACACCAACAGGTTCTTGTGGCAGAGCTTCCTCTTGGCTTTCTCTAGTGTGCTCAGGACACGCTGGTCAAAGAAATGAGTAACACTTCCAGAAGATGAGTCTGTCGGTGAATCATTAGATGAAGGTGGAGCTGAATGATCCAGCAATCCAGGATTTGACACCATAGTCTGTTGGACCTCCACAGCTTCTGTACTTGCAGTCTTTAGGGTGGACTCTTGCATCTGAACATTAAAAGCACCACTGTTTTTCACAAGCCCCAGACCGTTTTTACCAATTTCTCTGCCACACACTGAAACTCTAGTCAAGCTGAAAGGTGTAGGAATTGGTTTCATGGTGAATTTAAGAGGCGAGGTGATGCTCCTTGGAGGAGGTGCGGAAGAGTCATGCTTTGGCTCGCTTGAAAGCGGCAACACGAGGGGCGAATGCCACATTTTAAGTGACTGCCTGTTGGGCCCATCTCCAGATGTTGTGCTTGGGAACGATACAGGGCGTTTTCCTGAAGGTGTTTTCAGGTCTTCTCTCACAATGACCTGGGGTTGGCTGGCGGTCTTGGTTTCCACAGCTGAAGAAAAGCTCATGGTTATCAGACCAGGGCGGCCTACAGCAGAGGTCGGGAGGCGTTTGGGTTTCTCAGGAAGCGCAGGTCTGTACCTCACCTGGATCTCTTCCTGGAACTTTGCCCTTATGGATTTGAAATTGATGCAGGCTTCCTATAGCCAACATATAAAGAGAACAGATCTCATCAGTGCATTGACAAATATACATTTAAGCTAATAAGGGACAGTGTAGCATTGTTGAAAATCATGCATTTTAATGTCAAATAAAGTACAATAACATTAAAACAAAACACACGTATAAAACGCAGCGTCTACCAAATCTATTTGGCAAAATAAGACATGTTTGGCGTTTTTGTTGTTTATCCCAAACAATTTGTTTACCTCTTCCATGTTCGTTTAAATTCTCCCTGGCCAAGCTCGAACTGCATAGATATTACATAATATCTTCAAAACACTCGCACAGCGCGTTTAGACAGCGGAACATTGTTCTTACTGATTGATTAAACCGGGTACGAATTTGCCAATCCTCCTCTGCTGAAGGCTTGGCTCATGAATATTAATTACGTTGCGTGTGCGTCGACCGGTAGTCCTGTCTGATTGGATAAAATAGAAACGTTAAAGAGTGGGCGCCAGCAGCGGACAAATAAAATAATCTACATGATTATATAATATATATCACGAGGATTATTTTATTTGCCCGCTACTGGCGCCCACTGTTGGTTTTAACATGTTTATGCTTTATGTTGTCCAATCAGGACTACCTGGCGACGCACACGCAACCTAATTAATATTCATGAGCCAAGCTTCAACAGAGTAGGATTTTATTTAGCTTGAAAACAGTGACAGAACCACTTAGGACATTATAATCAGAAAAGTGTTTCAGATTGTATTTATTATAAATTGTATTTATAGTTAAACATCTCAGTTAAACATGTCATGTTGCCAGTGTTGGGGGTAATATATTACAAGTAACGCAAGTTACGTAATCAGATTACTTTTTCAAGTAACTAGTAAAGTAACGCATTACTTTTTAATTTACAAGAGAATATCTGAGTTACTTTTTCAAATAAGTAATGCAAGGTACTTTTTTTTTTTTTCAATTTATTGACTGACAGCTCTCCTGTCCCCATGTTGAGAGAAATCAGAAGATGTTACTGTAGTTCTAAAATAGCATATACGGCCTTATACGAAGGAATTATGTGCATTGATTTTAACCCTATTTGGAATTACACATGGATTCGTGTTGTGCTTATGATTGAAGGAAATGTTTGTATTAATTTTATGGTATTTTATCCGCGGTTTTTTTGTTTGTTTGTTTGTTTTGGGGCAATGTATGCAAAGTGAAATATGCAATTGCAATCTGGTGATAATTAGGCTACTTTAATCATCTATTTTGATTCAGTGCCTACTTGTTCATGACAAAGTTGATGAAGTTTCTTCATGTCATGTATTTGCTTGGAAGTGGAGCATTCTGGGCATAAGTGACTAAGAGTTTTCCCCCCAAAAACCCTGTCAATCATTAATAATGCTAACAAACAGTTTGTAGACTGGACCTAAGTCTCAGATCAATCTAAAATCAACTATTTCAGCTATGTGCAAATTTGTGTTTTCTATTTGTAGATTTGGAATTATTTTATCATGTTTCAGTCACCATATATCTGCCAGATTTCCTGATGAATTACTACAATCATCAATCAACAGGTAATATATACCTAATTTTAGGAGCTTTTCATATTGTGCCATGTTACCATATTTTGTCGCCCTAAAGACCTTGATTGGTTGCTTTAGGTGTGTTTCATTATGGTTGGGTTTAGTTTATTGGCTCTACAGAAGTATACAGAGTATAGATTTATTTAAACCCCACTGAAAATCTGTGCAATGACTTGAAGACTGCAGTCCACAAACGCTCACCATCAAATTGAACCGAACTTGAGCAGTTCTGCAAAGAAGAGCGAGCAAATATTGCAAAGTCTAGATGTGTAAAGTTAGTAGAGACATATCCCAACAGACTAAAGGCTGTAATTAGCTGCAAAGCAACAAAATGTGATTATTTTAAAGGGGGGTGATTCTTTTCTATACCCACTGTAATAGCACAGAAAATATCTAGCAGTTTTATGCTTCAACCACATGGGCCAAATGTTACATAGTGTATCTACAAACAGATAAAACAGAAATTAGTTTGCATACAAAACCATCAAAAGTGTAAACAGCAGAAGAAAATTACTGGACAGTCAAAATGATTTCTGTTCAAAATGATTCTGTTCTCACAAAGTGAAATAATTGCACTCCTTTTTCTCAGAAAATTATTTTTATTGAGCATGTGCTGAATAAGTGTCACCTTTCTACTCATGACTGGACATACAGTTTGTTGCCATAATTAACCTGTGCAACAGGAAAGGTGCCCTATGTTGGAGGAAAGAAAAATCCTTATGGTGAACACTCATAATGATGGCAGGTTATTCAGTATGTCCTCAAGCATATTTGTCAGAATCTGTTATGTTAGATAAGATGCTAATAATACCTTATCCTTAATAAAAAAAACTAAAATAATGACATCAAGACTGTTGTAAACATAAGTACATCTAATCAACATGACATAAATGTGAAATTATTTGCTTTATTTCAGTTGATTTGCTGTTAGTCTTCTTGATTTCTCATTGATTTCTCTCTCTCTCTAGTTGACAAAATAAGGCAAACTAAAATGTATCATCACAGTGTCTGATTAGTACAGAATAAGAAATAATAAAATGGCACTTTGTCTTTCTTAAATTATAATCACTTGAGAAAATCACTACAATACAAAAAAAAAAAGTTATATTTTTGTAAGCAAATGAACAAAGATATCCAGACAGTGACTGTCTTTGAACTGCTTTATCTACAACACTTCTTGATTGAGTGAAAGTTGTAGCCCTTGGTATGGACCACAGGATTCACAGAGGAGGCAAAAATAATGGTAGTTAAACAAACATCAACCCTGAAAAGATACATATTTATACAGTTTACAGTATTGCTTATGAACTGCACTGAGCTTGCAACACTGTAAAGCAAATATTATAACAAAAGCTCTAGAACAGAGATTTAAAATTCAACAAATACATTTTGTCATTCAAAAACATTGACAGTATCATAATACACACATTATTTGAACATTATTTAAAAACGTTCCTTTTTAAAAACTAAAATGTATCATCACAGTGTCTGATTAGTACAGAATAAGAAATAATAAAATGGCACTTTGTCTTTCTTAAATTATAATCACTTGAGAAAATCATTACAATACAAAAAAAAAGTTATATTTTTGTAAGCAAATGAACAAAGATATCCAGACAGCAACTGTCTTTGAACTGCTTTATCTACAACACTTCTTGATTGAGTGAAAGTTGTAGCCCTTGGTATGGACCACAGGATTCACAGAGGAGGCAAAAATAATGGTAGTTAAACAAACATCAACCCTGAAAAGATACATATTTATACAGTTTACAGTATTGCTTATGCTACAATACAAAAAAAAAAAGTTATATTTTTGTAAGCAAATGAACAAAGATATCCAGACAGTGACTGTCTTTGAACTGCTTTATCTACAACACTTCTTGATTGAGTGAAAGTTGTAGCCCTTGGTATGGACCACAGGATTCACAGAGGAGGCAAAAATAATGGTAGTTAAACAAACATCAACCCTGAAAAGATACATATTTATACAGTTTACAGTATTGCTTATGAACTGCACTGAGCTTGCAACACTGTAAAGCAAATATTATAACAAAAGCTCTAGAACAGAGATTTAAAATTCAACAAATACATTTTGTCATTCAAAAACATTGACAGTATCATAATACACACATTATTTGAACATTATTTAAAAACGTTCCTTTTTAAATAATCATCATATGTCATTGTATAAAATCTAAAAAAGAATGTCTGTCATCAAGTTGCTTTTCAAAAAAAAAAAAAAAAAGCCATGCAGATGGTCATTGAAAGTTTTTTTTCTTTAAGAAAAGGTTCATCACAATATCAACATTCAATACAATTCCTTCCGAGAAAAGCAAAACATGATTTTAACCAATGTTTTTGGCTTCTCCAGATGTAGAATGCAACTACACAGCTTCACAGGTAATTTTGTGCATTAGAAATGACAATAGAAATCAATCCCCAAGTCCATCGGATGTCCATCACAGTTCAACTTTGATTTAACTGATCCAATTTCTCATATTGTGACACTTTATTAATATTTTACAAAAAATATTTCTGAAGTAGTTCAGATAGTTAGTGGCTACTGGTAGACAGCCAATTTTCAAGTCCATCGCAAACTAAAGGTGCACTTAATTTATTAAAATAGATTTAACTTTCTATCAGTTATTAGTATTTGTCAAATGTCCCACAGAGCTCACACAGAGTTAAGTCCCATCTGTATCACTGTGAGTTCTGGATTTTCTCAGTGCTTTTCTGTATGTTTAGACACTCTTCCTAAGGATGAAATCATAAAAACAGCTTTAGTCAACAAAAAAATAGAGTTCAGAAATACTGCATTTTATGGACATGAGAGACAAAAGTGTGACATCTGTCATAAGCCTTTTAAAATCTGCCAGTTTTTGCCTTTTCCCCCTTTTTGCCAGCTTCAGTAAATTATTGTGCAATGAGAACTTGATTTTGTCAAAAGTTGTTAGTTTATTTATGCATAACCAAATTAATATAATGTGCTGGTTTTATGACATCACAACCCAAAATGTTTCTGAACACCTGAACTGTAGGTCTATGAGACTGAACGATGACTGTCATCACGGCCTTACCTTGAATGACGCCATTTTGCTACCTATCGTTGCTACCTATGATTGACTTTAAGGGGTTGGCTTCCTACTGCATATACATCCAGATGAACCAACCACTTCCTCTTGCCTGGAACACCTCAGCTCTGGGTGACAAGTGATGGTTCTGGCTGGAGTATACATATGCAATAGTATGTATCCAATGTGAGACATGCTGTTTCAAAGCTGGTCAACTAGCATTTTTCTCATCAAAACATCTCAATGTAGGCGTATAGCGGTGGGGGATCAAGTAAATTACTTGATTGACCGTATAGTCAGGAAGGCCATATTTGGCCTTCACCTTAGAGAAAGATTGGTAATGGCCATCAACAGCCCTGTATCAGACGTAAGAGAAACAGGAACCCATGTGTGGCAGGAGGGGTGTGGCTGAGTGGAGTCTGTAAAAGGAGATGAGTGGGGAGAAAGTGGGCCAATTGTCTGATAACTAACAGCTGTTTCCACTCTTAGTAACAGGCAGAAAGAGAGAATATAAGTTGATGGCCTGCCTGGGACAGGGAGAAAGAAGCAAGCCCAATTCCCAACAGTGTTCCGATCTGCTGAGATGCTGATTTTGTTTTGCCTTGCACAGTTTTTTTCTTTCGAGTTCAATAAAAGAATGTAGAATTTCTCTCACCACCTTCGACATCTCTATCCCACAACTTAGACCAGGTTTCCTCAAATCCGATCCTGGAGGGCCACTGCCCTGCAGAGTTTAGCTCAAACCCTGATCAAACTCATTTACCTAGGGATCCTGAAGACCTTGATGGGTTAAACCAGGGGTGCCCAAACTCGGTCCTGGAGGGCCGGTGTCCTGCAGAAGCTCTGCAGGACACCGGCCCTCCAGGACCGAGTTTGGGCACCTCTGGGTTAAACTCTGCAGGGCATTGGCCCTCCAGGGCGAGATTTGAGGAACCCTGACTTATACCTTGCTACAGTGCCATAACATGGGGGGATGAGTTCACCGCCATGGAGTCCTCACCCCTTGCTGAGATGGTTAAGACAGTACCCGGGCTCCACCAAACACAGCATCAGATCCTCTTGGACTTGAGGATGGAGCAAGAACAGCACTGCTGCCTGCTCCTAAGGGTCAGAAGGGCCGGGCTCCAGACACAGTGCTCATTGATCCTCATGGGCCACTCACCAAGATTCCAAAAGGAATGGGACAAATGGCTGGAAGCCCAATTATTTAGGGTGCGGAAGGTCCTGCAAGCCTCCAGTGGGTTTCCCCGTTTGAGCTAATCTATGGACATTGACCAAGAGAGCTGCTCAACATCCTTAGAGAGGCTTTGGAGGACAGACCGTCTAACAGCCAGAAAATAATTCTAACATGATGTGTCTGTGGGTGAGTATCAGCGACGACATAGAAACCCCAGTGTGCCTAATAAGCTGGGAGTGTGTAACCAGGGCTCTATATACCAATTCCATAACATCCTAGTCTTCAGGATTTACGACTTTCCATAGAATGGCCAGGACTATGCCTCTGCACTACACTAGATCTGTCAGGCTTTATGTGTAGCTAAATTTTTAGGTCCGACACACTAAATTATTCGTTTTTTCACACTCCTTCTGGGGATGCCGTGGGTTCTCAATCACCTGGTCTGGGCCCAGGGATGTTAGTGCCGGCATTTCACGCTCTACCACTACCACTGATGCCTGTTTCTGAAGCATACTGTATTTTGGCAAAATGCTTGCAACCAGAACTGAACTGAGGTGCAGCTTTGGGATTATTCCAGGCTTCACTGAGCATCTGTGAATAATCTTTAGCAAGAGAAACAGAGAATGAAGACTGGAGCTAGGAAACCCCAGCCTAGAAGTTAAACTCTGCAAGATAGTGGCCCTCCAGGAGCAGAACTGGAAACCCCTGATATACAATCTTGAAGAAAGAAGTGAGGAAGAGAGAAAACCAACCCAGAAGACATCTCTCTTTGGATATCCAGCTGTGAAGAGTCTGGAAGGTTTATCTGAGCATCTGGTGGTATCTCATCAGTGCTAAGAATTTGAGCACAAGCCTCCTGTAAGACATAGGGAATGGGATTATTGGTGAAAAACTAAAACAGACTTTAGCAATAGGCAAATCACAGCCGTGCTGATAAACAGTTATGACACACAACCATTACCAAAACTTCTGGCACATTGACTAAGCTGTCTTTTGCAGTCAGGAGCGATGACTCTATTGAGGAGGCAGCTGCTGGGGACATGGTTTCCTGCTCCGGACCAGAAATAGCACCTATGGAAAGAGAACGAAAAGAATGGGAATAATGCCTGTCACATGATATACCTCAATCTACGTAGTGTGTTAAACTCACAAGAATCAGTTGGGGATGGTGATATTGATGACCCTGAAGTCAATCTCAACTGTGAAAGATCAAGCTCACCACAGCAGTCCATTTCCTGTTTCCCAGAGGGCAGTGCGGCGTCATGTTTGCTTGTGCTAATGCGAACAGCTATTGCTTCCTCCTGGGGGTCCTTGTTTAGGGCGTGCTTAGATCCACTTTGCTGTACGGTAGAATCTACAAAGTGCTGAGGACTTATAATGTTTGATGAAGTCTCAGGAGGTTCACAGGAGTGGGGGCGCATGGAAGCTATGGGGACCATACCCTGAAGCACTGCAGCTGGAATCGGTTGCGCCCCCATGCCAACTGTCTGGGCTGGTACGAACGCCCATTGCTGCTGGCCCGTGGCTGGAGAGTGGAAGAGGTTAGCCTGACCCCAGATAACAGGCTGACCTCCAGGAAGCATCTGGGCCACCTGCAATGGTCCCTGAACCCCAAAAGCCATTGGAGCAGCCTGGGTAGCAAACGACTGTTGGGTCCAGTGAGCATGACCCATGGTCATATAACCTGAGAAACAAGAACAGCCTTTGAGAGTGAGTTTTATTTATAACATTCATTTAAAAAAATTACATAAAAATCTGAACTTTGATGAAATATAAACTCTCAGGCAGTTGCTAGATCTGCTTACTTTTTGTCTCTTTTAGAAGAAAACAAACACAACCCCAGGTACTTATTCAATACAGTGGCTAAATGAAAAAAAAAAAAAAGCATCAGCAGGCGTAGACATTTCCCAACAGCACAGCAGTAATGACTTTATGAACTTCTTTACTTACAAGATCGATACTATTAGAGGTAAAATTATAACCATGCAGCTGTCAGTTAAAGTATTGCATCAGACAGTGCACTATAGATTCCCTGGGGGAACAGTTCCACTCATTCTCTGCTATAGGACAGGAAGAATTGCATAAACTTGTTAAATCATCTAAACCAACAACATATATGTTAGACCCTATACCATCTAAGATACTAAAAGAGGTGCTTTCAGAAGTCACAAATCCTCTTCTGAATATCATTAATTCATGAATGTCATTAGGATATGTCCCAAAAACCTTCAAACTGGCTGTTATTAAGCCTCTCGTTAAAAAAAACACAACTTGATCCTGGAGAATTAGTTAATTACAGACCGATCTCAAATCTCCCTTTTCTCCAAAGATACTAGAAACGGCAGTATCCTCACAACTATGTTCTTTCTTAAAGAAAAATGGTATCTGTGAGGATTTCCAGTCAAGATTTAGACTGTATCATATACAGTGACTGCTCTCATCAGAGTTACAAATGGCCTGCTTTTATCATCTGATCGTGGTTGTATCTTTCTATTAGTGATACTGGATCTTAGCGCTGCATTCGCCACTATCGACCACAACATTCTTTTGAATAGACTAGAAAATTATGTTTGCATTGGCATGGTTCAAATCATGCTTATCTGACCGTCACCAATTCGTAGCAGTATTATATCGTTCACATGCAGTACGGAGTACCCCAAGGCTCAGTACTAGGACCGTTGCTTTTCACGCTTTACACGTTACCCTTGGGAGATATCATCAGGAAACATGGTGTTAGCTTTCACTGTTATGCTGATGATACAGTACTCAGCTCTATATTTCTTTGCGGCCTGACTAAACATACCAAATCACAAAACTAACAGAATGCATAGCTGATATAAAAAAACTGGATGACTTGTAATTTCCTACTGCTAATTTCTGAAAAAAAAACTAAAACAGAGGTGTTAATTATCGGACCAAAAATCTCTGCTTGTAATAATCTAGAACACTGTCTAACACTTGATTGCTGTGCTGTCAATTCTTCGTTTAGGAACCTAGGTGTGCTATTTGATAGCAATCTTTCCTTTGAAAGTCATGTTACTAGCATTTGTTTTTTTCCATCTTAAAAATATATCTAAATTACGACCTATGCTCTTAATGAAAGAGTGTTTAATTAACAGAAGTGTTAATTCATGTGTTCATAACCTCAAGGTTAGATTATTGTAATGCTTTATTTAGATAGTTGCTCTGCGCGTTTAATAAACAAACTCCAGTTGGTCCAAAATGCAGCAGCTAGAGTTCTTACTAGAACCAGGAAGTATGACCATATTAGCCCGGTTCTGTCAACACTGCACTGGTTCCCTATTAAACATAGCATACATTTTAAAATCTTGCTAATTACTTATAATGCCTTGAATGGTTTAGCTCCACAGTTCTTGAGTGAGCTCTTATTGCATTACAGTCCTTCACGTCCGCTGCGATCTCAAAACTCTGGCCATTTGATAATACCTAGAATATCAAAATCAACTGCGGGCAGCAGATCCTTTTCCTATTTAACGCCAAAACTCTGGAACAATCTACCTAGTATTGTTCAGGAGGCAGACACACTCTGTTAGTTTAAACCTAGATTAAAGACCCATCTCTTTAACCTGGCATACACATAACACAC